TTCTCACGCACACACATGAGACATTTATACTTCACACAACATGCTAAAACCACACAACATACACAAACTGTCATTTCTCTCGCATGTAGCATATTAGAGGCATCATGTGTTAGACAGGCGTGAGTATGTTTCCCATCTTTCCTGAGTGTTGCCAGACATCTTGAGACGTCTTCACCATGACAACAGTTGTAATCGCTGGCCATTAATCTCTCCACCCAACTGCACCGTGTTTTTCTTATGTTCTGCTGTCCTGGCATGTTTCATGATGGAAGTATTGATGTGAGGAGACAGATGATGTTAGACTGTAATCAGTCAAGTTTACAACATTCTAGGTGGATATTTAAAATGGAAGAATCTGACAACTAAAAGTGCCAATGGTTGTCTACTGTGATGTCTGATACTTAAAGGTAAAATGTTTTTGGATGGTGAGACTGTGGATAAAATTGTTACTTACATATTGTAAATGGTTTTCAATGATGATGAGTGCCATAGTGGTATGACATTGGGCTGCAACTAGCATCACAATGTTTTTTTCATCATCAATTATTCCATTATTTATTTTGCCAGTATTAAAGAGTCATCAAACCTTAACAAATCAAATCAAACAGTCCAAAACATAAAGATATTGATATGTAGGCTGAAGCTAAAAATAGTTAATATTACACCAAGAAGACCTCTGTTCTCATGGTGACTCAACCAGTGACATCATTATACCAAGGCTATTACTGGACTAGAGTATTCAATCAAATCACAAGAGGTGCTTAAACTTAAAACATTCTTTTTAGTAGTTAAAGAGGTGCAAGGTGTCTTCTCCATGAAATGCAAATCTTTGACGTGTTATCGCAGGGGGAACCTTACAAATGCAAATTAAAAAACTGCCAGGACTCAGCGGCTCCACTGCCCGCTCCTTAAGCAGAGTAGCCTTAACCGTAATAGCCCAGATTTCATTGTCCTCTGCAGACAGAGCAAAGAGATGGACTGTATATGAAAAAGATCACCGTGGCAACAGGAGCCCCAGTTTGAGGAGCTGGGATTGTGGAGGTTGAGGCCTAATCAATGCCTCACAGTCTCAGTGAATCTTATACTGGAGTAAACTTTAATCCATGAAATTATTACTTTAATCATCGCTGGCTGACAAAAATAAATAAATTGGGAGAGGAACAAGAAGTAAGCAATTAGATATGAGGGTTGTACACAGGCAGGGATTTATGGGTATACACCGAGAGTTCACTAAGAGGCCATGTGTTAATCATAGGAAAGAGATTGACCATTTATCCCTGAGTATTTCTACAACAAGACCAAATAAAGGAGGGGCATGTCACACACTGGACACAGGAATTCAATCTGAAAGAGGTTGTAAACCAATGTTTGATCCTCATGAATGACTGGTGGCCTTACAGGTATGCTTGGCTTAGGGTGAGGAGAAGTCATATTATCACCTCCACCAAGGAGGTTGTGTTGTTATTAGCCCTATAATTAGAAGCATAGGGGTGGCCTAGGGCTGAGGAGATAGAGCAGTTGTCCTCCAACCAGATGGAGGCTCGAATCCCAGCCAATGCAGAAGTGTCCTTGGGCAAGATGCTGAGCCAAACCCCCNGATCGCTAGGCTCTGCAATCACATCGCATGGATTCTCTTACCACTGTTATGCTGACGACACCCAACTGTTCCTCTCTCTTCCCACATCCTCCTCCAGCACCCACGTTCTGACGTGCATCTCGGAATGTCTGGCAGACATCTCCGCTTGGACAGCTACGCATCACCTCAAACTCAACCTTAGACAACTGAACTGCTCTTCATCCCGGGGAAAGACTAATACAATATTTGTTTTCCTCCAACCACAAGGTCTTCGGCTCAAAACTCATGCCCCATGTTCCTCGGGCATGATGCTGAGTAACCACCCCCCAAAAAATGGCTCCTCATAGATGCTGAATGCACTAATTGTAATTGTAAGTCACTTTGGCTAAAAGCATCACTTACATGAAATGTAATCTAATTACACAAAAACCACTGGACCGAGGTTACTACACAGATCAAAGAAGAACCCATTAAATTCAGTTGCTGATCCAGATCAGGTGTCATATCCAGGAAGTGTTTTCCAACATTTCCGTTGATTCCTCAGAGAATAATTCATGGATCTTGATGAAGAAAACATGTTAAGGAGACTTATAACAATGAGTTTGTGAAATGTGGTGGAGCTTGACTGAATTTGAGGGGATTGTTGGGCCGAGGTGGAGGTACGAGCTCTACTTAGTGCCATTCTAGTTCCCTACATCAAACATGGAACATGTAACACACTTTCAGGTTCAGGTCTGCAATGTGACATTTTATTAGTCTTGAGCTTCTTTCAAGTCTGCCCCCGCTTTGTGAAAAGAGCTATATAAGTGTCCGACAACACGGCTGCAAAGAGACAATCACCGGCAGTGACACCGAAACAAAATCCAATATAAATCATTTCAGCTACTTGTTAACACACTGCTACAAATATTTAAAACATAGGCTAACAATTAGCTCATTTAAGCCATTTTTCTATTTGGAGGGGGAAATAATCGTGTTGGAATAATGCTCAATCACTCCCAGGGAATAATAATGGGAGGTCTTCCTTTTCTTTCTGATTCTGCAGACAGTGTGTGAATGCAGCATCAGTCAGCAACATATGCAATAACGCTCAGCTGTTTGACCTGACCATACATGTGTATTGGCCATATGTATATTTCCATGCTACTAACAACAATATTTACTTCATATTCATTTTCTTATTTTTCAAGGAGTAATAGTACACTCTGGACACTAGGACCCTGTGGAGGCAGCAGATGTAGAACCTTTTTTCTCACTGCCTCCTGCTCCATCTCTGCAGTCACTGTGTGTGAGAGGAGGGGGGGTGAGGCAGAGAGTGAGCTGGTGTCTCAGCTTTGCAAACATTTACATCAGCATCGCTTCAGATGCATCTTTGCCTGTCACAGATTTAGCCATCCAGGGAGGAGGATGCACGAGGCGGATGAAGGCTCGAGAAGGGAAACGGGCTCTTGCAGTGGCGAGCACCTCAGCAGCATTCACAAGGTGCAGTGATTGATGTCCACTGTGAGCCTCAGCAGTGGGAGCTGAAACAGGTTTTCATCCTCAGAGACCAAAGCAGCTGTATGAGGAGATACTCTGATCCAGGTATATAATGCTTGCTTGCTTTCTTCTCTCTCTCTCTCTCTGTGACTCTTTCCATCACCCCCGATTCTCACCACATTTTCCTACTTGTTCTCATCCTCCTCTTCTTCTTCTTATCTGCTGAGTATTTTCTGTTGAGTGCAAGCAATAGATCAAATTTGATCACTAATTTAATGTATAAAACGTGGGCCTTGATTTATACAGTGGGTGTAAATGCATTAATGATTAATATATAAAAATGAGTAGGCGGTAAGACATGACTAAAACAGACAGGAGGGTTGAAGTAAATTGGCAGTACCCCTATGTGTGATTTAGAGACACTGCTCACTGAGGGCAACCATTCACAGGTGATGAGGGGGGTTAGAGCTCAGGTTTTAGCCTGATTTGTGCCATCCTCACTGTAGACAGAACAACCTGGGTTTTGGTTACATCTGTAGCAGCGAGAACTCATAGCAGCAGGCAAATGGATTTTTCCTGATCTGACATATACAGTATACAGCAGCAGCCACCCATGTCTGATTGTTGCTTGTAATAGCTATAGGCACAGTTAATATGCAGACAGCCTCTTTAGCCTATGAATACCCTCAGCTTTTCCAACTGAAACACTTAATCCACTCATCCTGCATGGTCAGGACTTCCTCAGTGGTAGTGGCAGACATCATGTTGTGTTTCATGTACAAAAACCTCACACATGGAATCTGGACGTACACATATATGGGCTACATATTGATGAGGCCTCCCTGCATTTGAGGACTATTTATTTTTGTTTGAGTAGTAGCCATTCACTGTCTTAGATTAGACCCTAGGTGTATACATATTCAGTATGAGCCCACGCAGCAGGTGTAGATGTGATGGAAAAGGACTGTTGTGATTGTTTTGGGGGAATTAGCCTGGATCCATGCAGTGACAGGATGTGTGCCTAGAAAAACCAGACTGGATGCAATATGAAAACAATATGAAACACCATATTTTTCAAGAGTACGAGTTAATCATCAAAATGCATTTTGAATGTGATGACTTCATATATATATATATATATATATATATATATATATATATATATATATATATATATATGTATATGAACCATGTTCAGTGGCTCAACTTGCATGATGATTTATGATTCTTCAACTCCTGCAGTTCTGTCAGCATATTACTGAATAGGTTCTGAGTTTGTGTATAATGTATTGAGTTGATTGGTTTGAGTGCTGGTATTGGTTTATTATCAGCTAGATCAGAGACGTTGAGGTTTTTTTCCTAAAACTTCATTAGCATGAGCAACCTGATTGGTTGGATTAGTTCATATGACCCAGAAGTGCTAATAAGAGGTCGCCTATGACATGAATACACATGTGAACAAAAAGAAAAAAATCCTTTTAAAAACCACTGCATCTGTGCACCAGCCAGGATTAACTGCAATGTTACAGTGTGCAATGTAACTGTATATAACTAACCTAGTGTTTTATTGTGGGATTTTTGTATATACTTAGACTGTAATGTGTCTACTTGTCTGTATGTTACTATTTGTTCCACTGGGACACTGCATTGACGATAAAGGCATTGGAATGAATACAAAGGTTAATATACATTCACCGTTTATTTTCCTCTGTTTCTCTCCTGTTTTTAGGTTGGCTTATAACCGATTGCAGACATGAAGATTTTTATAAAAGGACATGAATCATAAACTCTAAACCTCCAGACAATCACAGCATCTTACTGCGGAAGACCAGGCAGCTTTTGACCTCGTTTTCAAGCCGCTGCTTTCTGGCCGTACTTCCTGGCTGTGAAGGATGGGTGATGGGCCTGTGACTGATCCTGCCTGCCCGCCTTGTACCACCTTTCAATGGAGCCGATGTGGAACTCCTCCCACCCGCCTCCACAGCTCGTTTCCAACATGTCTGCCTCCTCTCTGCCCGAGGGCTGGGCTCTGTCCCAGTCGCTAGCCCTGCTGGCCATGCTGCTCATGGATCTGCTGGCAGTGTTGGGAAACGGGGCTGTCATGGTGGTCATTGCCAAGGCGCCACAGCTCCACAAGTTTGCCTTTGTCTTCCACCTGTGCGTGGTGGACCTGCTGGCAGCCCTGGTGCTGATGCCCCTGGGCATGCTTTCCAGCCGGGCGTTCTTCGGGGAGGCCCTGTGTCAGAGCTACCTCTTTCTCAGTGTGTGCCTGGTCAGCGCTGCCATCCTCTCCATCTCCGTCATCAATGTGGAACGTTATTACTACATCATACACCCCATGCGATATGAAGTAAAAATGACTGTTGGCCTGGTAGCGTCAGTGCTGGTGGGGATATGGGTCAAAGCCCTGGCCATGTCTGCTCTGCCGTTGCTTGCCTGGTTCTTGCAAGGTGGAAGAACGCCACTTCTGGAGAGTAGTGGGGTTGGAGGAGGAGGAAGTGGGGCGGTTCCATCTCCCCCTGCTCAGGGTCACAGGCGCTGCTCGCTTCACTGGACGGGGGGAGGGTCAAACCGCTTGGCCTTTATGGTCCTCTTCACTCTGGTGTATTTCCTGTGTCCACTACTAGTCATTCTTGTTGTGTACTGCAATGTCTTTAAAGTGGCTCGGGTAGCTGCCATGCATCACGGGCCTCTGCCAACCTGGATGGACACTCCTCGTCGCCAGCGGTCAGAGTCACTCAGCAGCCGTTCCATTATGGTTACCAGCTCTGGGACTGGGACAGGGACAGACAGAGCGACTCCACAGCGCCCCTTTGGGGGAGGAAAGGCTGCAGCTGTGTTGGCAGCAGTCGGTGGGCAATTCCTCTGTTGCTGGCTGCCCTACTTTACTTTCCACCTGTATTCAGCACTGGCTGCCAGCCCTCCAGCCGCACTGGCCTCTCTGGAGGAAGTGGTTACCTGGATCGGCTACTTCTGCTTCACCTCCAATCCGTTCTTTTACGGCTGCCTCAACAGACAGATCCGGGAGGAGCTGGGCAAACATCTTCCCTGCCTGTTTCGTCGAGCAGGGGTCGAGGTTGAGGACAGACTGCCCAGCCGCGAAGGATCCATCGAGGAGAATTTCCTCCAGTTTCTTCAGGGTACCGGCTGCAACTTGGATCCTCAAAACTCTCACGGCACCTCCAGTCCAAAGGGGGAGGCCTGCTGCCCTGTGACGCCGTCCCAACCACCTGAGCCAGCACAGCCCATACCCATTGATTTCCGTATCCCTGGACAAATTGCAGAGGAGACTTCAGAGTTTACTGAGAACGAACAGGGGAAGAACAACAATATATATACAGAAAACTAAGTTATCAATGTCTTTATTTCCCCTAAAAACAAATATAATTTTGGTCATTCAGATGTAAAGTGTTTCAGGAAAAAATGCCTTTTCTATTTCTACTGAAAGCTTGCAGCAGGTCGCTCAGTGAAATGACTTTAAATTGTATCTTTGAATCGTTGCACTTTGCCTCATCAGATTTCATCTAGTCACTGTGATACAGCCAAATTTCTGCCTGTTGCTCGTGACCAGGGAAAAAGATTTTTAAAAAACAACTTCCACACAACCGCTCAGCTCTGTACAGTAAATGACTCAGTGAATTAACACTGTTGTAACTTTAAAATCTGTAAAATTAAAAATAACTTAACATATGACAGCAACTGAGTACTAAATGTTTTTAAGAATATCCCTTTCGATCTTGAATAAATCAGCACTGGCTGAAATACAATGGTGATGTTCTGCTACAGGACGATTTGCCTGAACACACCAACATGTTCATAGCTGTTGATTCAATAATTTTGAGACTGTGGTTGATTGGAATATTTTTAGAAAGAGTTTTGTAAATGACTGCAAGAAAAATAACATCAGAGAGGAAGACAAGAAAATAAAAAATAACTATGAATTGAATATTTGGGGGTATCCATTGGAGGAGAATGAGAATTATTTTTGATTAGAGTAGTTTAACATATTGTGGCCTAACTCTAATGGAATCACGAAAAAGGTGTTTACAGGCAAACTTCTGATTTTTCTTTCCTTTTGGTGAGTGTCCGATCATTCTTCTTTCCTACAAAACCAGATCTGTTTTAACTTAAGGATGTAGGTTTACTTTATATCTCCTACGAGTCACCCAGCTTCCTGCGATGTGATGTATTTAACAGTATGTTTGGGTAGAGACCTTAAAAACCAGTATTCCATTGATGCACTGCATTGCATTCAAAAATGATCCTAATTCTTTCATTCCGTTAAATGTAACTAACTGTATGTTTAGTAAAACTGTATAAGTTTGGGCTGTGTGTTGCCATTTGACACACCCGTTTTCCTTTTTTTTTTATTAGAGAGTGTAAGTATTCGTCATTAGTTTCATCACAAGGATTACCCTGCTCATCAAGGGTTTTACATTACCTCAAAAGCTGGAGACTAAGGCCCTGTCCACACTAATGAGTATATTTTGAAAAATGAACTTTTTCCTGTTCAATCTCTTTGTGAACTCTTGTTCCACAGACAAATGGTCGCAAAAACATTTTACAAACACCTTCCAAACTCTGGGATGACATCACAGCTTACGCATGTCCACTGTTGCTTTTTGTTATGACCAACTACCAACAGCAATGGCAAATGTCAAATGAAACATTGACCGCCGACTTTTAGAACAGCCCTGGTTCCTGAAGTAAATTTCCTAATTTATTTATTTTTTCATTTACGTTTCAGAAAATCGTTCTAAAAAAGAGTTTTAAGCCTGGAACCAGACAATCAACTACAGACTGAATCATGACCATACAATATTTGATTCGGACCAAAAAAATTACTGGAAAATGAAAAAAAAGGCAAAGGTGCAAGACTGTGTACATAATTTTTTTAAAGTGAAGGAAACTACACATCCCATAAACCATTGCAAATTATCCCTTTCCAATGACTTCCAACATGCCGCTTCTTGAATTTAAAGTAGGACTCTTCTCCTCATCCTTAAAAAAAACACAGCATGTTAGAAAGAGAAATCATGGCTGCTCTTTGGTAAACGCAATGCAACACTGACCCATCCAAGCCAACATTATTTTCATGGTTTACATTTCTATGCAGCTAGCTCCACCAATCAAAGCCTTTGCCGTTACACTTGAGGATAGTGGGTAGCTTAGAATTTCTCCTTGACATTGCGCTTAAACTTGTTTTCATTAAAACGCAGTGATATCATACAGACTTTGTCTACAGGAGCATATAACATTGTTTCACGCTCTCATAGCTTGTGGTAAATCTACCTTGCTGGATGATTAAAATGGAAAGGCTGATAATCAAAATCTCTATTAAGAACATGAATGGTATTTTTACTTCTTGAACCATGCTGTTGAGCTTTGCATACTGGTTGACAGGAGAAAAAGCTCACTGAGCATGTTCACAATGTTTTTCTCTGATATTTGATGGATGTTGACTGAATCCATACCTACTGGCTCGACATGCTTGTTCAAGCGTTTGTTGTCAATTTTGTGTTCTCATCTGGACGGAAGTATTTTATAAAAAGAAAGTTTCTGGTGACGGGTTTTTTTTTTTAAGTGGAGGGGGGAAATATCCCGATATAATATAACATCTGCAGTAGTAGCCTAAAGACGACGTGGTTTCTTGTTGAGGTTTTATTAGAAATGAGGGTTCAGATTTTGCAATGTTATTCAGCTTGAGTTTGATGATGAGAGGAATTTGTATTTTATATTAATAGTTATGGATTCATATGATAAATTGTATGTGGAGATGTATGACTGAAACAACAGATCCTTTCTTAATATGGACACAGGGTTTTTAAGAATTCTTTTTTCAGATGCTTTTGAGTGACAAAGCCAATACCGAATCAAAAGCTTGCTCTCTTCTTTTCATTACTTTCAAATATCCCAAACTGTGAATGACTTTGAATGTTTGTGTACGATTTCATTGTTTTTTTTCAAAATGCTGTGATTGAAATAAAAGAAAACAACTTCCATTGTACTGCAATGAAATGAATGTGTGTAGAAAAAAAACACAAACTGGCTAAAACATGAGTGAGAGATGCAGTTGTAATAAAGACTTTGTATGTTTGTAAAACATTTTTCGATGCACTCTCATAATTGTAGAGATAGATAGATACAGTAGATATATATATTTATATAGATAGATAGGTAGATAGATACAGTAGATATATATAGATAGATAGACAGCTAGACAGATAGACAGCTAGACAGATAGATATTCCGTCAGAAGATGTTGGTGTGCTTCAGGCCTCACACCTCAATGATGGACCTCAGTCAAGCCGCCCCCAGCTTCGTCAGGCTCTGCCATCCCCATGGCAATTATTACCTAGTGACATTTCTCAGAGCAGTGGTGGGTGGTGGGAGGAGCTTGCTCTATTTGGAATCCAACAAGACAGTCTTGTGTGTGAATTCCTAAAATAAATCTTCTCAACTAAACCACAGCTGACACTTGTTTTTGTTATTTTATCACAAGCTGAACTGAAACATTCCTTCATTTTCTGTTGGTTAGAAATACCTTTTGTTATTTCCACATAGACATAGAATGCTTAGATTGATACAGACTTCACAGTATCTCCATATTATTATCCAAAATTGGATATATTGTGTAAAATGTTTGTATACGTACATCTTGTTTTTCTTGCATTTAAATTGCAATACACTCTTTTTTCAAAGTTAACAGCAAATTCTGAATTAACCTGCATGATCACATGTGTGTACCAGTAGCTTTTGATGAGCTGGTACATATACGTTACTTGCATATGTGTCATGTGTCAAGATAAAAACTAACGGCCACTATGATGATGTTAAATGTAGGACATGGCATGTTAAAGGATTTTAAGGGTTTTTAAGGATACAGGACAGGTACAGGGTGACTGTCAGAATAGTAAAAGAGTCTCCAAGCCAGGATAAGCAAGTGAACAATGAGCATTTAGCTGGAAGGAAAATTATAAATCATGGCCTAGTAAGTGCAGGGATGCATAGGGAGCCAAACTATTACCATTAACTGACATTTTATACAGAAAACAATCAATCAATAGTTTAATAAAAGTAAAATTGTATGTTGCATGCTTAGAGTACTTATATAATATAATATGATTGGACATTTTACTTATTAATTACTTGACATACTAATAAAATGGAAGCTATTCTCTAAAACTGTACCATACAACAAGTTATAATTATATAAACAACTTAGATATTCTGAGTATAGATTTTGACACAGGGTCCCTGAACATGACCACATGAACCACAACATGGAGACTGGAGAAGTAATTGACATTTTACTTTGGTGAGACATACTAACTCTGATTTCTGCAGACACAGGTTAAATGAAACCTGGGACGGTTCTGGCCCCTGTAGTTGGCTTTTTTTCCCAGTTGGTGCCAACATAGCATACAGATGTAGGCTTCTTCAGGCAATGATGGGGCACTTCTTGCCTTCTTGTGGCCTCAACAAAATGAAGTGGCCCACTTGTAAAATAGCAAATGTGACCCATCCCCAAAACAAATGAGGGGCACAGTGCAGGGTGTAATCTGGATGGGAATCTAAAGTGTCCCATCACCCAAATAGCACAAAACAGATTTGGGCCACCTATGATATAATATGGCTTATTTGTGGCCCAGATGGAGCAAACAGGAGCGGACCGCCCTGGTGCCATCAGTCCTCTCTCACAGTGTTCAGTGTGGGCCAGATCTGGGCCAAGACAATATTCGCTATGTGGGAATCAAGTCTTCACATTATAAATATTCCTACAATTCAGTTCCCCTTAATTAACATGTTAGGGTATGAAGTGACAGATATCATTGGATCTTTACTGTCACTCATTTATAAGACTATTAAACTACAGTAGCTGGAGACAGGCAGGACCCCCCCCCCCACACACACACACACTCTCTCTCTCTCTCTGTGTGTGTGTGTGTGTGTGTGCACCTCTGGACACAGCAGGTCGATCCTCTCAGAGTTTTCAATGAAACTGAATTTAGGTCAAAACCAAATTCAAACAAAAACCTACGCAGCCGAGCAAACGAAAAAAAAGGCTCTTCGTTCGCTAACTAGCTAACTGACCAACTAGTCGGTGTAACTTAAGCTGCGGAGAAGCGTATGCTAACGCTAGCTATGTGAAAAAGAAATGTAGCCGCTTGTGCAAAACTTCACAGTAACGATAAGAAAACTGTCCATGAAGAAGAAAGCTCCGTGCGACACACACACACACACACACACACACACACACACACACACACACACACACACACACACACACACACACACAGAGTTTTCAGCCGGACACTTCCTGTTCTTCAAGCTGCTCCTCAACATGTCCAGTGGTAAGTGAACCAGCAGAGACACGGTGCTAACATCTGTCAACCATCATACAACACAAACACAAAACCACAACACAACCTGAGCCACAGCAGCACTGGAGGGTCAAGTGGTGTCTTTCTTCTTCACCACACAGTTGGTTACATAGATAGATACTTAATGATCCAGAGGGAAGTGTAGGCACACAGACACACACAACACAAGAGCATAGGAATAATAATCAATAATAGGTTCTCTGCAGTGAGGTGACAGTCGAGCCACCAACAATTACTGCAAAGCTGTCACTGCAAACAGAAGTGCTAATGGAGATATTGACAATACAATGTTTTAAGTGTAAGGTGATTGAGTATTGAAGCCAAGTGTAAATACAGATTTAAAGATGAATAACTGAAGCTATACAAAGTTGTGCATCAGACTAACAAAGCCTGTAAAATGATGGTACAGCAAATTAAAGTGTATTTTAAAAATGAGGAGAAAACAAGAATAAAGCTTAGAAAATAAAACTAGAGATATAAAAGATATAAAATCAAATAAAAATAAACATAGGTAGTAAAGGTGACTTGGTTAACATCCTCTGGTCTGTGGCTTGTATGAGGAATTGGATGCTGGTGGTTTTTCGCATTTAGGTTGAATGTATCAATCAATCATCAATCAATCACATTTTATTTGTGTAGCCCATATTCACAAATCACAATTTATCTCATAGACATCCTCGGAAAAACTAGCCCTGCTATAGATGCTGTGTTTAGCAGAGAACATCAACAAAATAACAGTATACACAACATTGATTAGAAGAAATAGTTTGTGACATAATGGAAAAGTGTGTCAAAGAATTTGTTCACAACAAAATGTCTGATAGAGATGAAGGGAGCAGAAAATGACAAACACTGGATAAACAGGAAAACATTTAACTTACCTGCAGTAGATCAATGATGTAATTACCTCCTCACTGCCGATAATTATGTATACTTTTATTTGCAATATGCTGCAATAATACTTGTTTTTATGCATAGGCCTGGTAAAAACAACATCTGTATGCAAGCTGTGTACAGTATAATCTAATTAGTGAAAAATATACTTTGTTCAGTTGGGTTTGATGCAGTTTTATTGCATATCCATTACCCATGAGGTGGCTGGAAAAAGAAGAATATGCAATTTTTTTGGTGGCTGCAAACAACTGAATTCCTTAACCTTCCAAGGAGTGAAAACAAATCCCCAAGCAGCTGCTGATATGCACAGTGGTTTCATTTTTGGCTAACGGGCGAGCTGACAGAGAGCTTGACTAAGGAGCAGAGGCAAATATCAGGGAAAAAGAATCGCCTCCTGTTTCCAGGTAAGATTTCTCATTTCAACAAAGTGCAGGAAATATTTATAGAGGTAAAGATGTTTTTTTTCTTTTAGACTAAAGTAAACCTCTGTTTTTAGCTTTTTCTGCTGTTGCTGCACCAGAGGGTGAGTCAACTTTCTCAAAAAGTAGGTCAGATTACAGAAGAAGCTGGAGACACCAACAAACGAGACTTTTGAAACGTTGGCGAATATACATTTTGACTTCATACACTTTTCTCTGCTCATTTAATATTAAGAAGAATTATAATTATTTGATTGTTGTGTTTAAAGGGGTCTGTTCAACATAGTTTGAAAAGGTTTGTGAGAGGAGTTGAAATAGTGTTTGGCCTAATTTCATTGTGATCCAGACAAAGAATAGCTTCTATGTTGTTTTTCAGTGTGATCAGTGTGATAGGTGTGTTTTTAAGTTTGATCTCAGATTGATTATAGGCATACTTATCACTAAATGTCTGGTCTATATATCAACTGTGTCTTAACATTACTTACTTACTTGCATGATGTCTTAGTTGTAATGCTAGAGGAGGATTGCTGAGGAAATGGATGAATAGTTTTGGAACATTTTTAAGTGCTAAACAGAAATGTTTCTGTCGGACTGCATGTTTTTTTTCTACCACTAGATGGGGGTCTTTACACGTTCGTATGCCTCTTGTAGTGACTTCTCTGTAGTAATGGAATCCAAATGGTCTGAAACTCACTTTTAGTCGTTCACCAGTCTGTCTTCCCATTTCAGTAATAAACAGTAGATGCAATACAGTTTTGAAATGTTTATTGATCTGTGACACAAACAACATTTATTTAATGTAAGCCCAGGAAATCTAATGAGAAATTAAAATTACTACAAGAACACAGACAAGAAAATGTATGAAGCTAGTTTTGAATTGTCTCAATATGGTTGTGACAAAGAATTTAACAAGCAATTTTAACTTTGGAGTTCATGACACTTTCAAAGAGTTTGAAAGTTTAATTTTACAATTAATTATTAAGTTTGTGTTTCATATGAAGTGTCAGGAAAAACAAATATCCACTTTTTATTTTCTTGATCGGGGTCTGCTAACTTTTGGAAGTGTGTGTGGTTACTGTACTTGTACATGTAAGTGTGTATTAGCTTTTATGTTCCTTCACTACAGGAACTACATGAGAGAGAGGTGCGCGCACACTGCACTAGTCAGGGGTTGCTTCCTCGCTGGGCATTGGTTGTCACTATTTATAATACTTTATATCAGGCGGGTCTATCCTGTGTGTGTTTAGGCTCTCTCTGTCTCCCCTCAGAATTTTCCAGCAAAGAACATTGGGAGTTCACCAGTCAGCTTACGCACTAATCTGGTTTTTCTCTGCTTATCCACACTGACCATTCCTAATTCTTTGCCTTTTTTAATCACTTGTCATCTGGATCCGCTGTGTTTTTTTTCCTCGGCTGAATACACACTCTCAGGATCTGATTGCTATTTTTAGATGAGTGGAAAAAACTTTTGTCCTTCTCTCACCTTGGCACTCAGCTGGTGGGGTGTAGTCAGTCTTCAGTCTCGCTTGCTGTCATGCTAGTTACACGCTTTGATCTGCGATGCCCTCCTCTGTGGCTGTTTTTCACTGCATTGGCTACACAAGGCTCGTTCCCCGGTTGCTAGGGCAACCAAGGAGGATGGTCCTCAGCAGGGGCTGGGGAAGCCTTAGGCTGCCTCTGTGCTCGTCACTTTGCAGCACGCCTGCTGACCTGCTGATGTCTGGGAGGAGGAGCCAGTTCTGCAGTGGAGCATCTTCCGGCCCAGTATGGTTTCTGCCTCCCCTCTGCCCCACCATGAGACAGAGCTCCAGCATTAGAGCTAGTGCTCCTCCCTCCCTCTGCTGGCCACTGCACCGCTCTGACTCGCACTGCTCCAGTGATAGCAAGAGCACAACTGGCAAGATGTCATCCTCTTCCTCCACCTCCTCCTCCACCTCCAATGGACAAGGGAAGCCTAAACCTAAATCCCCGTTTCGCAAAAGGGGGAGTCTGCAGAGCACCACCATTCCTGGTAAGTGGTTGTGAGTGGATCTTTAGAGAGAGTGAGATAAAGCTTGCTACACGAATGAAGGTTCAGAAAATTACACAGATGCTTTTGTTGTGATATCTAAGAATTCATGCATCTGAGTTTACAGTTGTTGCTGCAACTTTAGGTTGTTTTTAAAGTGTTTGTCTAAAGATTTGATTTTATTATTTAGCATGCAGCGTGAATGCTAAAACTGTAATTGTTATGCTTTTTATTGCTTTAGAATTTTTTTTTCAAATAATACTCATGACACTCTGCTAATCTATTGACAATTACTAGTAGTATTATCTTTCTTATTAACCATTCAATTGTTGAGTGTATGAAATGTCAACATGGACAGAAGCACTTTCTCAGAGGCCATCTAATCGTCTAAAAACAATCCTGATTTGTAATATAAAACAAATTCCCTAATCAGCTGCCACCCATGTTACTGGTGAGGCATGACTTTATCATTTTAATTTGGTAAATCACTTAAAAAGATCAGTCCTCTCTAGAAGTGATGTGAGTGATGCTCACCCCTTAATTTGGCCCCTTTGCCCTCCTGTTTATCAGGGATCTACTGGTGATGGACTCTCCTCACTTATCAGCTTGGTTCAGACAAACAGTGGGGTGGTTTTATCTTCATTCATGTCATCATGACGAAAATGTCCTCATACTTTCAGGGGACTATGCAGTGACATTGAAGAAAATATTATGATGTCAGTGGTTGATGATGGTCTTAAAATTAAACAATTTGCAACAAAGTGTCCCACAAAATTTGGAAAATGCAGTTTCCAGATGCCAATTTGATTATTTGGATTTAGCAACTTTTACTACTTATATAATTATAGTTATAAGGATTTATATGAGTTATTACGTTTTTCCTGCTGATGACATTGATGGAAAATAATTGAACTAGTATTTATCACAACAGGCCTCTATCTCTCTGGCATATGGTGGAGTATAACAATTAATGTTGTGCTAGTATCAGTTGATAATGTGTGCAGAGGGGTTTGATGAACTTTGATAGGAGTCGGGCCGAATGATGCAGGCTCTGTGATCACCTTTTGAAGTTCTTTCTAACGGGTCTCTGTGGAAGAAACTACAAAGCTGGACCAGTGATTTATCTGCGCAGTAATTAAATGTTAACATTGATTTAATTTGAAGCTGCAGCCACAGCGTGGCACAAACGTTGAGGGTTGGGAGGGATGCAGCAGCAGATCTCCAGCAGTAACTCGCGTCGACACACAGTATATTGTATTTGCTGAGAAAGCCTGTCTTTGCTGCAGTCATAAATAACTTAGAGGTCTCTCCATCCATGCAGTCATTTAAGTCCTCTCAATTAGCCGCTTGGATGAGCCCTCTGCTCTCCCAGTCCATCATAAGAGCCACATGTAGGCTTCCCATTATAGTTCCACCATCTGAGCACTCCGGTCTATTAGCATTCTTGATGCCAAATTGCCGCAGTAGAAAAATCCACAGTGGAAGCAACTTGAGCAGTTTGTGTTTGAACCAATGAACTGGAGGCTTGAACATTTCCTGTTACGTCTTATAGCATCACCAGAAATAGATCAGCTCTGTGGCATCTGTCTTTTCAACAACCTCAGAAGTAAAATCATATTTATTTGTGACAGATCTCTTATGTAAGTGTTGATTTAGTGGTGAAAACATTGATAAAACGCAGTCAGTTGTCTCATCTGCAGGAATCTGTATCTGCCTACAGGCTGCTCTCCCCCACTGGACCGTCATGGCATCACATGAAGCAGAATCTATAATTCCCTTGCTTTGCAGCCGAAAGTAAAGGAGGTGATATATAGAAGCTATTAAAGTATCTTCCAGAGAGGTGGAGGGAATTCACTGCTCCTACTATAGAGAGTATGGCTCTCTGACATTCTCTGCAATTTGCATGCAATTACAATATGGGGGCTGATGCTGATTTTACAATGTAGCCATAAACTTGATTACAAATTCAAATAACTATGAATAAAAATAAATCATAAATATAGACTTTGAATTAAGAAAATAAAAAAAAAGTTTTTATGTCAGCGCATACTGGCAAATATAAATGCAGATAACAATATTTCAATAATCATCAATAATAAATTAGGCTGGTATCGGTCGCTCACCAATAAATCAGTTGAGCTCTACAATACACAGTGTGTGACAATACATCACCCCAGCACAAAGATTGATAAAAATACAATCAACATAACACAAATGTACACTATACAACCAATCAAATCAGTGTTTTGTATTTTTATAAAATTACACATTGATTTTATTTTTTTCTAAATCAATGTATAATTTTATCTGTGATATAAGGTTTGTGTTACATGAGGGATGATGTCAGAATCATGAACCATATCACCCCATAGTCAGGTGACCCAGAAGAAGATCAGCGGGGGCAGTCTGGAAACTGCTTTACGTTGGTCTGTACGCTCTGTCTGCAGTTGACTAACTCGCTCCACTACCTGAGCCCCGTTTTGTTCTGGTTCATTATTAACCAGAAATCCTGTCTCCTGTCGTTGCATGTCTTTGTCATGGCTTACTTTGTTGGACTTAAAGTGTCTTCGCTATCTTGCGATTTGCATCATTACATCTTATCAGCTCTGTTCTGTTACACCCACAGAGCTTTGTCACACTCATCACTGAATCATTAGCACATCTACTCATTGTTTCCTTATGGACTTTAACCTGCACAACTGGCACACACACACACACACA